GACGCTTCACATGGACGTGTGGGGCCCGGCTCGCGTCCGTGGACAGAGTCACGAGCGCTACTTTCTGGTGGTGGTTGACGACTACTCGCGTTACACCACTGTATTCCCCTTGCGCAGCAAGGGTGATGTCACTGAGGTGTTGATCGGCTGGATCCGCGCAGCTCGTCTCCAGCTCAGGAGGAGCTTCGGCTCGGACTTTCCTGTTATGCGTCTGCACTCTGACCGAGGCGGAGAGTTCTCCTCTGGCCTTATGCGAGCCTACTGCCGTGCGCGAGGCATCCGCCAGACCTTTACGCTTCCGGACTCTCCACAGCAAAATGGGATTGCTGAGCGCCGCATTGGCATGGTCATGGACGTCGCCCGTACGTCCATGATGCATGCGGCTGCCCCCCATTTTCTGTGGCCGTTTGCGGTTCAGTACGCGGCGCATCAGATCGACCTTCACCCCAGGGTCTCCATGCCGGAGACCTCCCCAGCTTTGCTGTGGACGGGGAAGGTAGGCGATGCGTCTGCGTTCCGTGTCTGGGGATCTCGGGCGTTTGTCCGCGACTTGTTTGCGGACAAGCTGTCCCCTCGTGCTTCTCCTTGTGTCTTCCTTGGCTTCCCTCCTGACGCGCCAGGGTGGCAGTTCTACCACCCCACCTCTCGTCGTGTTCTGTCCTCCCAGGACGTCACGTTTGACGAGTCGGTCCCCTACTACCGCCTCTTCCCCTACCGCACTCCTTCCCTCCCCCCGCCACCGCTCTTCCTTGTGTCAGGTCCCCCCTCGGTAGACCCCCTCCCCCCTCAGGGTCCTGCCCCTTCAGGTGTGTCCCAGGTAGACGCAGTCGAGCCGGTCGAGGTTACTGGTGACTCTAGTACTGCTGCGGGTGCTGAGCCTGGGGGTGCTGACTCTGGGGGTGCTATGCGTGTGGGTGCTACGCCTTGGGGTGTTGGGCTTTCGGGTGGTACTACTGGGGGTGCTGAGCCTGGGGGTGCTGAGACTAGGGGTGCTGAGCCTGGGGGTGCTGCGCCTGGGGGTGCTCAGCCTGGGGGTACTACGCCTGGGGGTGTTGAGCCTGGGGGTGCTACACCTGGAGGTGCTGAGCCTTGGGGTGCCACGTCTGGAGGTGCTGAGCCTGGGGGTGAGGAGCCTGCGGGAGCTGGGCCTGCTCGTGTGGCGTCTGGCGGTGCTGGGCCTGGAGGTTCTCCGGGTGCTTCGTCTCGGCGGGAGCCACTCTCTCCACAGGAGCTACGCGAGTGGTTTGCCTAGCGCTGGAGGCGTACTCCTGGAGTTGGAGCTTCTTCGGCTGCTGGGGGTGATGGTGCCGCCGTTCCCGGAAGTGCTCTTACTGGGAGTACTGGAGGTGCGGGGCCTGTGGGTACGACTGGAGCTGGAGCTGCTGAGGGTGTTGGCGCTGAGGCTACTGCTGTCAGTCCTGGCGGCGGTCCTGCTTCGGGTGCTTCAGATACTGTAGCTAGAGGTGCTGTTGGCGCTGGTGCTGCCGCTGGGGGTGCTGGTGCCATCCCTGCTGTGTCTGGAGTCGCCGCGTGGCCTCGGCCGTACTTCGTTCCGCTCCTTCAGTAGGTTCTTGGTCTTCCTCCTCCCTTTGAGTATCCACCGCCTGTCCAGTCACAGTCACAGTTACCGCCGTCCTCCCCACTTCCTGCTCCTTCTCCCTACACTGGTCCTACTAGAGGTCTTGCTGAGCGTCGTGAGCCTGCGTCTCGTCCTGCGTCGCGTGTTCGTGCTGCTCGCACTAGTGGTCGCGGTTCGCGTCAGCGTCCTCCTCCTGTCCCTGGCACGCACCGGATGTCTCTGCGTCTGTCCACTGCTCCTCTGCGTGTCCCTTTGCCTTCTCCTCCTGAGTCCTCTCTTCCTGCTCTTGCCGACCTAGAGTCGGACTCTCTTCGTGCTGCCAGTCCTACTGTCACGCGTCTCCTTGCTACTGTCGTCACTGACCCTTCCTTTGAGTCCACTGCTGCGTCTCCTCTTGTTGCTGAGCTCGTCGACTTTGCTGCTCGCTGTCGGCTAGACTACGGTGCTAGTCTCGTTGCTGAGTCTGCGTCTGTCTGTCCTCCGTCCGTCGGGGGTGAGTGTGCTCTTGGCACGGACGTCCTTGAGGACAGGCAGGAGGAGTTCCAGTGTCTGGCTGCTGCTTCACCTCATCTCGTGTCTGTAGTGCTTACCCCTGAGGGAGACCCGGATGCACCAGACATCCCGACTCCGCGCTCTTACGCGGAGGCCGTAGAGGGTCCCTACTCCTCTCAGTGGCAGGCAGATATGGATGCAGGGATGGCTTCCTGGAAGTCCACAGGCACCTACGTTGACGCGGTTCCCCCACTTGGGGCGAACATCGTGAGTGGTATGTGGATCTTCAAGGTGAAGCGGCCGCCAGGTTCTCCACCTTTCTTCAAGGCGCGGTACGTGGCTCGTGGCTTCAGTTAGCGGCAGGGAGTTGACTACTTTCATACCTTCTCTCCCACCCCAAAGATGACCACTCTTCGGGTGCTGCTGCACATAGCTGCTCAACGCGACTACGAGCTTCACTCTCTTGACTTCAGCACTGCTTTCTTGCAGGGTAGCCTGCACGAGGAGATCTGGCTGCGCCGCCCACCTGGCTTCACTGGAACTTTTCCTCCTGGCACCCAGTTGAGCCTCCGGCGGCCAGTCAACGGTCTCCGCCAGGCACCGCGTGAGTGGCACGACACACTGAGGACTACACTTGCGGCTCTTGGGTTTGCTCCCTCTACTACCGACCCGTCGCTGTTTCTGCGCAACGACACCTCTTTGCCGCAGTTCTACATCCTCGTGTACGTCGACGACTTGGTCTAAGCCACTGCTGACACTGGTGGACTCGCCCATGTGAAGTCCGAGCTGCAGAAGAGACACACGTGCACAGACCTGGTTGAAGTGCGCAGCTACCCTGGCTTGCAGATCACCCGGGACAGAGCACGCCGCACCATTACCCTGACTCAGTCACACATGGTGCAGCAGGTCCTTCAGCGCTTCGGCTTCACGTACTCCTCGCCTCAGGCCACTCCTCTGCCTACTCGCCACTCGCTCTCAGCTCTGCCTTCGGATGAGTCCATAGAGTCGAGTGGCCCATACCCAGAGCTTGTTGGTTGCCTCATGTGTCAGCCCGCTTAGTGTCAGCCCGCCTGCATTACCAGCTGTTGCTTGCTTTTTTTTTTGCATGTGTACACCTGCAGGTTGTATTCTGCACATACTCTTGCTGCAGGCAGTTATGGGGGAGTGTCACAACATATATTTGTAACTGCCTGTAGCTGTAGTTAGTGTATATACTTAAACTTTGTTTGGTGGTGCACCTTATGTGTTTCCTTTGCTATATTTACTTCGAAACTATAGTGAAGCCACACATTCTTCCCAATTTCTCTCTTCCAACTCTCTCGATACCTCGCGTAGGAGAAACCCGCTCGATATCCTACTTGGGCCTAGGCTACTAAGCCTAGGCCCTACTTAATCTACTCGTTCGTCCTTATTAAACTCTCGACATCATGTACCTGATGACCTGCACAGGACCTGACCTTGCATACCCTCTTAGCATTCTTGCACGCTATGTTGCTCCTGGGAGACACAGACCGGAACACATGGCTGCAGCTAAGAGGGTGTTGCGCTACTTGTGCAGTACGTCGGGCATGGGGCTAGTGCTTGGAGGGCAGAGTCTAGTGGTCCTCACTGGGCACGGAGACGCTTCTTGGGCTGACGACCAGGCTACACAGCGGTCGTCACACGGTTACACCTTCAGCCTTGGTTCCGGCTTTGTTTCATGGCGGGCTACTCGCTCATCTTCCGTTCTCGGCTCTAGTTGTGAGGCTGAGATCTACGCCGGAGCCATGGTTGCTTAGGAGCTTCACTGGCTCACCTACCTGCTGACTAACCTCGGAGAGCCGCCTCGTTCTCCTCCAGTGCTGTACGTAGACAACAAGGCCATGCTGGCCTTGTGTCGGGAGCAGCGCCTGGAGCACAGAACGAAGCATATTGCTCTCCGCTACTTTCTTGCTCGCGAGCTGCAGCAGCGTGGTGAGTTGCTACTTGTGTACGTGGCCTCTGAGGCCAACACTGCTGATATCTTCACTAACGCACTTGCGCCTTGTGATCATAAGCGCTTCTGTACTCAGCTTGGTCTTGTGCCTGTCTTGCCGCACTTGCTCACTTCTTGACCTTGCTTGTACTGTCACATATATATATATATATACTCCTGCTCTTGCTTGTTTACCCCTTTATATATATGTGCTCCTGCATGTGAACTGGCCTTCTGGCCTTGAACTTGTGCTCGGAATGTGTGGTGACTTTTTGATCCACCCTGAGCTTTGCTTTGCTTTGCTTGACTGGTCTTGTTACCCCTTGTTCTCCCCCACTTTGCCTATGGGGGTGTGTCAAATTATAATGTTGTGTAGGCTGTAGTGGGGTAGCCTATATGGGGTACACATTTCTAGGGTTGCACATTTGTACCACTTTCATTTCCTTAGTTCCACCATTCTCGTTTCAGTTTTCTCACGGGCTACTATGGAAACGCCGTGCCTTCCAATCGGCTTCCGCCATCGTCGCGTGATAGTTGTCGCTTTCAATCCGCGTCTTTCCGCCTCACATCTCTTCGCGAACACCTCGGACCGTCGCCTTCACTTCGTGTCGCCCGCACATCTCCCGTCCCGTCTACTCGAATCGGGCCCTTCCCTTCCTCTCGTCCCCTCACAACCTTGTCTCCCTCTCTCCCCGTCGCCCTCGCAAACCCCGTCATTTTTCTCCCCGTCGCCCTCGCAATTCCTATCAATTCTCTCCCCGTCACCCTGCCATCCGCGCCTCGCCACCCTTGCCTTCCCAATGGACTCCCTTCCCATGTCACACACGTGTCACCCTTCCTTTTCTCCCACTATTCCCTCTTTTCCCTCCCTCCGGTAATCGCCTTCCTTCCCCCCACTTATACCCCTTTCTTGCTTCCCCTCATCCCCTTCCCTGCTTTCCCCCATCCCATTCCCTGCTTCCCCCCATCCTCTTGATGCTTTCCCTTTATCCCCATCCCTGGTTCCACCCCTCCCCTGCCCTGCTTTCCCCCCTCCCCTGCCCTGCTTCACCCCTTCCCCTTCCCTGCTTCCCCATGCTTCGCCCCATCCCCTTCCCTACTTCCCCCATCATCTTCCCTGCTTCCCCCCATCCCCTTCCCTGCTTCCCCCATCATCTTCCCTGCTTTCCCCCATCCCCCTCTCTGCTACCCCCCATCCCCCTCCCTACTTCCCCCCATCGCGTGCCCTGCTTCCCCCTATCCCCTTCCTTGCTTCCCCCCATCCCTTTCCCTGATTCCCCCCATCCCCTACGCTACTTCCCCCCATCCCCTTCCCTACGTACACGCATCCTCTTCCTTTCCCCGGATCCCCAACCCTGCTTCTCCCCATCCTCTTCTTTATTCCCGTTATTCCCTCCCCTGCTTCCCAGCCGTCAGTCCATCCCCGCTTCCTTCGCCCCCCCCCCTGTTTGTCTCTCCCCTTCCCCGCCAGCCAGGCGTTGAGGCTGCTCAAGCTGCTGCGGCTGAGGCGGCTGGGGCAGGTGACGTAGCAGCTGACATAGCTGCCGACAGGTTCATAGAGAAGGAGGAGATCCCCAGGTGGCTCGCCAACCGAATGGTACTCTCTGCTCTCTGCTCTCCGCCCTCTGCTATCTGCTCTGTTCTCGATGATCTGTGCTCCGCCCTCTATGACTAGTGCTCTGTGCTCGGTGTGCGGTGCTCTGTGTTCTGTGCTTTGCCTGGTTTTGCCACCTCCGCACACACAACACAATATATTGCCACTCCCTTTTTGTTTTTTTCTGTCTTGCTGTTCCCCCCTTCCTGTTCTTCCTATCTGCACATCTCCGCGCATATCATGCAACCACTTGGAGGCGTCCTCGCCCTCCCTAATCCTATGCAGATGGTGAGTCTGATGGGTAGTCGGAGCTGTCGTAGCGCTTCCACGAGGGTGACTTTGTCAACGCCCTCTCGGTGAGTCGGGCGCTCTCCATTGATCCTGCCCCGTTCTACAGCATGTATCAAGACGCACCCGACCAGGTCCTTCACTGTCAGCAACGCTCATGGTGCACGGAGTCAAATGTGGTGGTCTGTTGTCGCACGGCATGGAAGAGTCATCCTCTTCTGCATGGGCACACAACAGCAGGGAATACACGTACATGTTAGAGCCACTGTCCACCTATCACATCATCTGCATGTTCATAATGCATGTCAATTGAACACACGCACTTTTAGTTGGATGAATGATTGGTTCCGCTTGATTACGTGAACCGCCGCTTTCGTTCCCAACAGCTCTCCAAATACCTCCCTTTTTGTTTTTCTCCCAATTTAAAAGGTCAATTTTCACCTCTCTCAATGTGCTATCATCATGGGCTAGTAAAATCTCCACCGTCATGACGCCATCCCCCATCCATGTCCAAAAGGCACTCGACATAGCGCCAAGATGCAATTTCACAACCTCACCTGCGTCCTGCACGATAAAAAGGTCTATAAGTTTTGGATACCTTTATTCCAAATAGGTGCATTCTGCAATAGCCACAACGATATTGTACACCTCATCAGGGCCCTAGATATCAGACTTTGGAGTCTGATTCAAAGTTCGTTCAGACTTTTTTTTGTAGCCTAGTCTGACCTCAAAGAATTTTTTTAGGGACCCTGTCTGATTTTCCAGAGTTTTTTTACCTGACTTGTCTGAAATTTCAGACTACTTTGATAGTGTACGCTGACCCTCAAACTTGCATCGGGGGTGCACTCTGAAACAGCTTATACAAGGGTTTGGGCCTGCCTGGTAGCGTGTAGGCTTATCCCCGTTAGTCACGGGCGGGAACCTAGAAATTTCGCCACCACGGCACCGCACAATCGCGTTGGTACAGAATTGGTGTGATCAACGCCAATTCCATCCAATCGCGGCTGCGCACCAGGCAGTGTTGGCAAGATTCCTTGCCAACACTTAGCTCGCAGTGCGGTGCACCAAAGTTTGACACCACAACCACCCACCACACCTCCCCTTCATTGTTGCCAGCGCATATCTCGCATCGCGCTGCCACTCTCACTTCACCACATACATCCACCCCACCCCACCTTCCACATTGCCAACGCATAGCTTGCACCACGCTACTACTCTCACGTGACCACATCCATCCACCCCATTCACCCCACCTTCCCACCATTCACGCCCGGGTGCCGTGAATGCAGTGACCACCAGGGGGTTGAGAGGTCCTTATACGAGGACCTCTCTTCTTCCTCTTCGTCACCGTGCTTGCCAGGCTCTCTCACGTCTTTCCGTTTGCCTGGCCTGAAACTAGTGTAGGAGCCCTTGTTTCAGCCTCCCTTTTCCGAGCTTGCTACAGCACTGCTCGGCAGGCTCAATGGCTGCCTCAGAAGCTGTCGATGATGGGCCCAACAAGGAGGATGATGCTGATGTTCGCCCAGCTTTGGACCCACTGACAGGTCTAGACTTCCTTAGGTCTCTCCTACCGAAACATAATCCACCGCAACCTAAACCGTCGCAACCCAGCTCTATTCGCCCATCGATTCCCGTTGCCTCTGCTGCTCTGCACGAGGATGTTGTTGAACCAGCATCAGCCGCTCAATAGGCGGTGCGCCAAGATTTGTCCGTCGAAGCACCTTCTCGTCCCGCGCCACCGACAAACCTGCGGTTCCGTCAGTCCACCATTGCGTGGGCAACACCACCTCGTTCATCGACCACTGAGACTCCTGCGAGTGATGCATCTCCCATGCAGGACAACTCAAAGCCCACGCAGGCTAGCTCAAAGCCCAAGCCCGACACGCCTGAGTTGAAATATGAAGAAGCGCATGCGCGGTACAAATCCAAGTGGTCCACCGATTTTAGTTGGCTTGTCCTAACTCAAACCTCCACTTGTGCTCCTTCTTCTAAGTGCAGTATTTGCTTGGAATTTTCAGGTTGATCAACACCTCAGTGACGTCACCCTTGCTGCGCAAAGGGAAGACTGTGGTGTAACGCGAGTAGTCGTCAACCACCAGCAAGAAGTACCGCTCGTGCCCCTGCCCACAGACGCGGGTGGGGCCCCACACGTCCATGTGGAGGGTCTGTAGCGGAGCCTCTGTCGGAGGAAACTCGGAGGAGTGAGGGGCGGCGCGCTATCGCCCCTCGACGTAGGGGACGCAGGTAGGGCCACGCCCCGGAGGTAGGGGAGGGAGAGATCGAGGGAGACCAGAGACAAGGAGACGGGAGGCCATGCCTCGGAGACGAGGCAGGGAGGGGTGACCAAGGCGGTGGTGCCAAAGGAGAGTCTGGTGGGACAGTAGACGACACGAGCAGGGAGCAGACTCGGGACCAGACCTGGACGCTGCAGCAAACACCTGACTTGACGCAGCTACCTGGTCAGACTCAGCAGCCGGAGGAGACTCAGTAGTAAGGGTGTACAGGCTCGACCCTGGCCGACGGGTGAACGTGGCCAAGTGTCGGCCTGTCTGAGCACACGTGGAGTGGGTCACTCGCAGACTCGCAGGAGTATACTGGTCAACCCCCCTATCCTGTAGGTCCGCTCCACTCACCAAGTTCGTAGAGAACGAGGGGAGGTAGAGACCAGACAGGGTGCCAGAGGGGGTTGCCGGGCACGGTAAGACAGTGGAGAAGCTAGCAAGGACAGGACCCCCAGAGGGGTCCGCCAGGGAGACTGCAACCGGCCGACTGAGCGGCGTAAGAGTGGTGCGGTCTCGAAAGAAGGAGCGGGACGCACCCGAGTCAAGGGTGAAGGTGTGTAAGGCCTGAGCCGACGTAGTACCTGAGAGAGCAGACTCACCAGCACCTCGGGCAGCAGACGCACTAGCACCTAAAGCAGCAGCCTCACCAGCACCTAGAGCAGCAGCCTCAATGCCCGGGCCAGGCGGAACACACATGTAACAGTCACCCTCATCACTAGTAGGCAATGCATACATGGCAGTGAGGATAGCATCATAGTCAAGAGTATAGATATCGAACCACAGCCAAAGCAGCTCCACCCAGTCAGGGAGCTCAGCCGCGTTGCCAAACTCCGTACGTCAGGCGTCGCTCAGACGGGCGAAGCAGTGGGACGGTGCGTGACCGAACGTCCCGCAAGGCTGACCAGTCCGAGCACCAGTGCGAATGACGTACGTACAGCGAGCAGTACCTCGTGACCCGTCACGCTGCGCGTACCACTCACGAAGCTGCAGGGGCGAAAGGACCACTCGCCGACGATGCTGAGACTGCACCTGGCCACTACAAGTAGCTGCCGAACTACTCACCCCAGGACGACTCCCACTACGGCCACCCCGACAACCCCAACTAGCGTACCACTCACGAAGCTGTTAGGGGGTGAGGGACTCACGCGGGCGACGCTGCAGCTGCACCTGGCCACTACAAGCAGCTTAGGAACGACTCACTCCAGGACGACTCCCGCTACTGCCACCCCGACAACCCCAACTAGCGTACCACTCACGAAGCTGCTGGGAGGTGAGGGACTCACGCGGGCGACACTGGAGCTGCATCTAGCTACGCCAGGAGCAGCAGTAGTAGTAGAAAGAGCAGCAGCAGTAAGAGCAGCAGTAACAGCAGTACGAACAGGGCAGTGCTCACCAGTGGCGAGAAGGGCAGGCGTACGACGGCGGCAATGGCGATGCCGCTACCACTGTAGAGCGAGAGCTCCACGGCAGCTGCAGTGGCGGCTGCTCCAGAGGCGGCTGCTGCAGTGGTGGCTGCTCCAGGGACGGCTGCTGCAGTGGCGGCTGCTCTAGGGGCTACTGCTGCATTGGCGGCAGCTCCAGGAGCGGCTGCTGCAGTGGCGGCTGCTCCAGGGGCGACTGCTGCAGTGGCAGCTCCTCCAGGGGCGGCTGCTCCAGGGGCGGCTGCTGTAGTGGCGGCTGCTTGAGGGGCGGCTGCTGAAGTGGCGGCTGCTCCAGGGGCGGCTGCTGCAGTGGCGGCTGCTCCTGGGGCGGCTGCTGCAGTGGCGGCTGCTCCAAGGGCGGCTGCTTCTGCTGGGTGGCTCGGCGGCTCGGCTGCCCGCTAGGGGCAGTGACGGGGCCGGGTAGGGGCAGCGGTGGGGCCGCTAGGGGCGGCGACGGGGCCGCCTAGGGAGGGGAGCGGCGACGTGGCCGCTAGGGGCGGCGAGGTGGCCGCGTTGGGGCAGCGACGGGGCCGCGTAGGGAGGGGAGCGGCGACGGGGCCGCTAGGAGCGGCGACGGGGCCGCGTAGGGGCGGCGACGAGGCCGCGTAGGGGCGGCAACGGGGCCGCGTAGGAATGTCAGCGGCGACGAGGCCGCTAGGGGCGGCGACGGGGCCGTGTAGGTGCGGCGACAGGGCCGCGTAGGGGCGGCGAGGGGGGCGCGTAGGGAGGGGAGCGGCTACGGGGCCGCTAGGGGCGGTGACGGGGCCGCGTAGGGGCGACGATGGGGCCGCGAAGGGGCGGCAACGAGGCCGCGTAGGGAGGGGAGCGGCTACGGGGCTGCTAGGGGCGGTGACAAGGCCGCGTAGGGGCGGCTACGGGGCCGCGTAGGGAGGGGAGCGGCTACGGGGCCGCGTAGGGGCCGCTACGGGGCCACGTAGGGGCGG